GCACCACCCTCTCTGCCAAACCAGTACCCCTTCCCAACTTTCTCAATTCTGACAATGGGACAACACTCCTTCAGTCCTCCATGCTCAAAAACTTCAGTCTTTAAGTCCTTTCTTAAATTACTCTAGGTCTCAAAGTCATACTAATAATTTCTTCAAAACACTTCCTAGATCTGTTCCTTTACTGTCATTTGCATCATCACCTCACACATGGATTACTATAATATCTTCACAGGTAGTAGCTATTCCTGTTGTATGCAGCAACCATATTAATTTTCCAAAAACGGTTTTTTAATGACTTCTGCTTGAAGGTTTCCTTTTTGTCCAAATTCATCTGGTTCAAACTCTCATAGCCACACTTTATCTCCCATTACCTCCTGAAATCCAAGGTAATCCTTTCTCCCCTCACACCCTCTCCAGACTCATTACTGTCCCTACTTTTGCTTCACTCCTCCATCCTGTTTCTTTTTTAAAAATATATTTTTATTGAAGTATAGTCAGTTTAGAATGTTGTGCCAACTTCTGGTGTACAGCACAATACTTCAGTCACATAGCATCCCTTCTGTTTCAACAGAGCCTTCAGTAGATACCCTAACCTACATTACTTTCCTTATTCCGAATTTGTAAAGCCAGTGATATGCTGGCTCTTGGTAGGAGGTTGGTGAGGAAAAGCCCTGATTTGTAGTGTTTGCCAATAACCCTCACCATGGCAGATCTCAAGCTGCCAATGTAACATGACTGTGAAACTGGGAAAAGATATGCACAAAACCAGGAGGAACCAGCTCCATGACACCAGAGTAGCATTTAAAATCTGTGTTGCAATCTAGAACTTTATACTGTCTTGTTTAAGCTCTCCAGGCATATTATATAGGTCTGTTTGTTCACTGCAATAAACTCTAGTCTTAGGAAGAGTGGCAGGCCACTCATTCTAGAGCTTTCATAGTGAACAGGGCACACAGCATATGCTTGATAAAAACCTGTTGGCAAGACCTGGAGGGAGTGATAAAGCAAAGCCAAAGACTATCACAAAATGGTAAAAATGGGCATGTACTCATTTAGGGCTGGTTAGTAAGAACAAACAAAAAGAGCAATGAAGGAGCAGAATGTAGTGGACATAAAATCAGAATGGGAGCTAAGGTATTCCCAGCTTTGTACTTGTGTGACCCTTAGCAAGCCAATTCTCTTCCTGGGCCTTAAGACTTCTCATCTGTAAAATTAGGGTACTACATGTCTTCTAACTTATCTTTAGATTCTAATGCTCTGGGACGTGGGTTAAACTGACAAGGAGGCTGCCCACGGTCTACTGCATTGGTATAATAATAATCATAAATTTATGTTAAAACCTGCTAATAAGTCAAAGGAGTTTAGGGCAGTAAGTCTTTTCTGAAGGTGTGAAGAAATATTCTTGTAACACCATTCCACTCCTTTGACCTATTCATTACTATACAGAAAGTAATAATTATTATTAAAACAATTATTATTAAAACAATTATTAAAAAAATCATTCCAAAAAGTTATCTATTACCTATCTATTATGAGCTGGTAAGGCTGATAGGCTGAAGATTCAGTAAAAACAAAACACATCCAGTCCTTACCCTCATGAAACCCACAGTACTGTGGGTCAGTAGCCATTTAGTTCCAAATTATCATAAAAGTGCTTTTTAGTTTAGCACAGATTGCTCTGAGTAACAGATGCAAGCTATGGACCCTCTCTTCCCCAAACAGGCATATAATCATAAAAATCTGAATGTAATTTCAGGAGTTCATAGGATCTCTCATATGTGAAAGGGTCCAAGAACTGGAAGTTAACAACTCTGACCTACATCTACAAAACAGTAGACAAATTCAGTATCATAAAAGCCTATATTCTGTTTGCTAAAGGAGTATAGTAAAGATTTCCAACAGAAACAATTAAAAATAAGGGCCCATCATCTAAAGGATTAAGCCTTGGCTTTTTGAAATTTCAGTCACCTAGAGTATCTTCTTTCAAATAATATTCTGGATAAGTGAGGTATGCCTAGATGATGTTTCTATCTGGTCTACTATTCCTTTGGTAAGGTTGCCAGTTAAATTAGTTTTCTTATTTAAAGCTATTTGCATATGAACGTGTGCTTCCAATTCACAAGTAAATCTTCATTTTATTACTCTTCCATTTCACACCGAAGAGACCAAATTAGCCCTAACAAATACATGTACACATATATCTGAACAAGCAGCTTGAACAAAGCAAAGAATACAAGTATCAGAGTTAGAGGGCACTGACTCACTTCCTGACTCAAACATTTTATGGTGAAGCCATCTGGGACAAGTCATCTAACTCTCAGACCTATGTTTATTCATTTGTAAAATAAAGAGTGGATAACAAGATGTACCTAAAAGGGCTATTATGATAATTCAATCAAGTAAAACAATGTTTGTGTCAAAGTGTTTAGCTATAAAATGGGCAAAACTGGGTGAAAGAGCAGATTGCTTGGAGCTGCTCATAAAACATCAGATACTGAGAGATTCTTTAGGAAGAGCTGCTCATATCCTTAACGGATCTAACTGGAGTAAAATAAATTGTTCTTAAATTGCTCAGGGAACTTTGTTTTGATTGAGTGCCCAATAATAAAGTTCTTAAAGTTTGCAGCCAGACTTTGGAATCTTTACAATGCATAAATATATTCTCAAGGCAAGAAGATGAACTACATACAAACAAGGCTTGGTTTCATAGTCAAAGTCCCTTTTACAGGCCTTTTTTTTTTTTTAAACAAGGCAATGATTCTTTCACTTACCTTGCTGAAAGGGTTAACAGGATGCATACAAAAGATTTTAGATGAATTAGTCCATAAAGCTGAACAAATCAATGAAATCAATCTCTTTTAGTGGAGAGGGTATTTTTTTTAAGTAAGTAAACAATATTTACTTGAGACATGAGACATGTTTTCCAGTCCATTCTCCATGCAAATTAAGCCACGTAAAGGGTAACTTTTTTTTTTACATTATTACATTTACATTTACAACGTACAGTTACATTATCTCAATAGTCAAGTTTGGGCGATTCTGCCTTTAAAATGTGAATTAAACAACTTTTTAGTAATTTGGTACTAAGGAATTGATCATTACACCTTATCGAAGTTCATAAAGGTGACCAAAAGAGTAATTTGCTCTGGTGCCTAGAAAAGAGCCAAGAGGCGGATTTCTCTGCCCTACTAAGCAAAGGGTCTATTGGTTTCCCCCAAATGCAATTAAGCTCTGATTCCAAATAGTTATTACACAAATGTCCCCTAGGAAAACAAACCGCAGCTCCTGTATTTACGTAACACTTTCTTCCAAGATATTCAAAGCACCTTACTGTAGAATTATTTAAAAGAAATGTATCTCCCATTTTCAGAAAACAATTACTATTATTCTGTGAGACCTTAAATCCCTTGCCTAATCAGATGCCAAACGGATAGGAAATCCTAGACTCGAGGTTTTCTCTGAGGGCAGGAATAAACTCTAGAGATGATGGGGGTGGGGAAGGAGTCGGGAGAAACTCAAGACTCAAGTAGGCTATCGGACAGGAGAGGTTAGGTGGAAAGCTGAATGAATCAGGCAATGGAGTTCTCGGGATGGCAGGTGCATTAAGAATTGAGCTCAGACAGACTATGGAGTAGGGAAAGTGACCGGGGAGTAAGGGCTGGTTAGGTTGGCGGGAGCTGGGTGGGTGAAAAGCCAGGTGTGAGGGTCAGTCCTGGCTAGCCCCCAGTGTCTGCCTACCAAGTGCTCACTCAGCCCTTGCTACTTCCCATTATTACTACCGGGAGGTAGGACTCCGAGCTACCTGAGGGCGTGCGTAATGGAACAGAGCAATTATCACGCAGGCCTGAGGAAGCTGCAAGATTCCTCCACCCCCAGAGGCCGAGCTGGCTTCCCGCCCGCCCCAGCCCGGCCCGCGTCTCACCAGCCGCCAGGCGCAGGCCGCGGAGGCTCCCCATGGCCGCCTACTCCGCCGACCAGCACTGGGCCCCAGGGGCGGCGGTGGCGCGGGTGCCCTCAATATCACTGAGCGCCGCGAAGGGAAGGACGAGAGTCGCACTGGGGGGGCGGGGTCTGTGGGGTGTGAGGGCGGAGCGAGCGGGTCGAGCGTGGCGCAGGGGGCGGTGGGCGGGGCCTCCGGGGGCGTGCGTGACGCGCAGAACGTGTGGGTCGTGCGTGGCTCTCAGAAAGTGCGGGCAGCGTGCCCCGCCGGGCGCGGCCCTGCCCCGCCGGGCGCGGCCCTGCACCTTGGGCGCGTTCTTAAGGATGCCCTTCTGGAATGTGGGTGTAGTTGGCCTTTGCGATATTATTCTGTGTATTTGCATAAAGTACTCATTTAAAATAGAAGAAAGGTAATGTACTTATTGTAGGACTTTTGTGAATTGTAGACCCTGAAATCATACTTTATAGATAAACCAGTATTTCAGTACACTGTTTTTCAGTGTTTCAAATGAATACGTGTATGCCTTTATTAAAACTACATACTTGGGTTCCTAGTAACCAGTGGCCTTCACTTCTTACTGGTTTGGGGAGTATTTCTCCGGCTACCCGAAAAATTGACACATTACCTTCCTATTTGGTCTTATATTTGCCTATTTAAAAAAAATAACTAAACATTATTTCCACACCTAAACACCCCTTTCAACCCTTATCCCACAGTGCTAAAAGTATTTTTTCTTGACATTTCTGGGTGGGCCCAAAATCTTAAAGAACAAAGACCCCTCTGCTTTAGGGACAGGATGGGAGGATTAAGAAAAGCTTCACTTTCTACTTTAGATTTCCTCCTCCAACACCCTGGTTGGTGCGACCAGAAAATTATTTACCTTTCTGTAAGAAAATGGAATTGGAGTAAAATGATCCTTTCAGGTTTTGACATTCTTCGATCTCGGCCAGTTCCAGGAGGACATGTTAAAGGCATAGGTATGGAAAGAAGGATAGCAGCGCTACGAGTTTCGATGTGGAGGAGGAACAGGAGAAAAGACAAGCACTGAGCTCAGCTTTCCCGCTGACATTCCCCTCAAAATTTTTTGTTAGGCGGCACCGCGGGCACCTTTGCTCCGCGGTGATTGGCTCGCGGCGGGGGCCTCTTGCTTGTCCAATATGGCGGCGCCCAGTGGCGGTGTGAACTGTGAGGAGTTCGCGGAGTTCCAGGTAATGGGGTTTTCCTCATGTGGCAGACGTGCCCCTCCTTTTGTTCCCCGAACCGCGTTCCCTGCTCTGGCATGGGAGGGAGTGCGGAGCAGCTGTGGCAGAAGCGGGCAGTTCAAGACTCCTTTTTCGAGCCGTTGGAGGTCATGGGGGCGCAGGCTTGGCCTTAGGGAGCGAGGCTGCTCCGTTGGGGTCATGGTCTCCCTGCGCCTCCCTGCGCCTCCCGGGCCTTGAGTAACTGTACCCAGAAACTCTGGGTGGTTCCGCGGTGGTAAAGTCGGCTTTGGGCGGGGTGGGTAGGGTTCGTAACAACCTTTTAGTCATCCCCTGCACTCAGTTCTTAGCCTCTGCCATTCCCTTCATACTTTAAGTTAGCATTTGTAGGAGAGGAAAAAAGTGAGGGAGAGTCTATTTACTTGGTTAAACAAACAAACAAACTTGGTACAAGTTTTACTATTTTGATGGGGCCTTGGAGGGACAATTAATTCTAGTACCTGCTCTGGTACCCTCCTTCCTAACCATTAGAGAAAATGTAACATTTAAGAAAAAGGCTGTATTCTTTGTATATTCAAACACCAAGAGGTCTAGGGGGAGTTATTAACCCATGAATTAAAGAATAAGGGTCTGAATTTTGACCAAAGTTGTTTGTTTGTTCCAATGTAGGCATAAATGTGCTCCAGTCTAGATAAAGAGTCGAATTTAAAAATCATGATTTGGGGAGAGTGTAGCTCAGTGGTAGAGCATATGCCTAGAATGCACGAAGTCCTGGGTTCAATCCCCAGTATCTTCATTAAAACAAACAAAGAAACAAACAAAATTAATTACCCCTCCTTCCCCTGCAAAATAAATAAATAAATAAATGAAAATCATGATTTTACAAACATATTTTTAACTAAAGATACTGAAAAATCATTTCGCGTATCATTTACCGATGTAAATGTAGTAAGCTTTGTGCTTTGAGTGGTTTTGTAGGGACGGATATTCTTGAAGATAATCTCAACAGACTGAATTATTTGAGAAACATCATCTGGCCAAAGGAATTTAAGTGGGATCTGTACATTATATGCACCTTCACCACATCAGCATTGCAGATTAGATTATCAGCACAACAGCAGTGGACTTCCAAGTGTGATCAAAGTACCCAAGAAATACAAATATTTGTAAAAAGCTTAGATGGAAAAAAGACTGTTGGATTCTAAAGTTTACGGAATATTTAAGGTTAACCGGTTCATTTGTATCCTTGGTGTTATCACTTTAGTACTGTGATTTAACTTGAGTTAATGAGCTCAGATAATTGAAGGATGATAGTCTTAAGGAAAGAATCCATGTTAGGGAATTAGATGTTCTGGGTTTTAGTACTACTTCTGACATTAACAGCTTTGGGATCTTGAGCTAATCACTTATCCTCTTCCAGAATTAACTTTTGAATCTGTAAAATAAGGTTATGTTAAGTAACATTTAAAACAGCTTCCATCTCTTATAATTATTTGAATCTCTAAAGCCAAATTTCAAAGGATCTCTTAGCTGTTGAAACATCCAACAGTGCTTAAAGGACACTTTGATTTTTCTTTTGAAGGTCAGATGAAACGTTGTTAGTGGGGCAAAAGCTAACCTGTCTTCCAGAACCATTTCATCTGCAGAGATAATGGAAATTAAAAGATCATAAAATGAGTCTCATTAGTGAAACCTGGAGAAGTTTTTAGATTGTTTATCTAGGAATTTTCCAGATGTGTAAGTTATAATGGCGAATACCCTGGGTTAAAAGTCAGAAGATCTGGTTTTCCAGAGCTGACCTTGGCATATCATTTAACCTCATTGTAAATGAGTGTGACCGTATTTGCCCCTGCTGCCTTGGAGGCATAGAGATGTAAAAAAATATTTTAAAATGTAAAATTTTATATAACATTTAGGTTTAAGTGAATTTTGTAAAATTATAAACTGTGGTTAACTGGCATACTCACAAATTATTAAGCAAAATCTGTATTTTTAGAGCTATGAAACCATTACATTTTATATATAAGTACCTAATATTTGAAAAGCACTGCACTGAATACTGTGGAAGAGAAACAGGAAATCATGTATTTTTTATTATAAAGGTTTAGGTACATTTTTTCCAGAGTTTTATTAAGAAGATGTTCAAACACTATAGAAAAGTTGAAAGAATTTTACAATGAACACTCATGTACCCACTTGTCTAGATTCTACAATCAGTGATTTGCTATTTTACTAAATCACATATGCATCTATCAATTTATCCCTCAAGCCACCTTTTTTTTTTCCCCAAAGTAAGTTGCTACCTCATCATTATGTCCTCACATGACCTCTTTGTGCGCAGAGAGAGAGAGACCTCTAGTATCTCTTCCTTTTACAAGGACAAAAATTCTATGGGATTAGAGTCCCACCCTTATGACCTCGTCTAATCTTAATTACCTCCCTAAAGGCCTTATCTCCAAATATAGTCACATTGGGTGTTAGGGCTTCAACATATGAATTTTGAGGGGGACACAATTCAGTCCATAACAGATACCTTCTAGGTACCAGGCATTTGGGGAGACTAAGTGGGCAGGATATAAAACATGTAGAAGATACTTAGAATATGAACACAATGCTGTAACAGTTTAGAGAGAAATAAGTCAAGAGATGGTAATTTGATTTGGGCCTTAGGTGAAGAGGAACAGGGGAATTCCAGGTAGAAGGAACAGTATGTAGGCAGAAAGTTTTATATATTGGGGGAAAATTACTAGAATTCAGAATTTGTACAAGGGCACTTTGGGATTACACAGAAGATTGGAACCAGGTTATAAAAGGCCTTGAATGCAAAGTGTGAGGTTAGGGAGTCATTTCTGAGCAGAGGGGGTGAAAAGATCAAAGAGATACTTCAGGAAGACCCACCTCTACTGCCACAGTTTGTTCACGCCCTATCATTTTTGCAGTTAGCTTTGCTGCAGTTCTCCTTATCTTTAGTCTTTGCTTTCTCTAATGCATCTCCCCTCCAGTCTAATCTCCATAATGCTGTGGCTTCATACTGTTACCTTCTAAGTATTAGACTCTGAACCAAGCATCTATTTTCAGGATAATATGACTAGATCAAAACTACTTAGCATGGCATACACCTCCTTTAAAAATTCAATCCCAGAATGGCTCTACCTAGTTATATCTCTCACCACTGCCCTTATTCATACATATTTCTCTCTCCCCAACCCGCACCTCTTCGAACATACATTTGAACTCTGCTGTCCAGCCACAAAGGCCTGCTTTTCCCTGAACACATGATGTTTCGTCGTTTCTGTGCCTTTTTCCCTCTTTTTGACACCCTGAAATCCCTTCTTCCTGACCCTATTTGAGACCCAGGATATATATCACCTGAGCAAAATCAAATAAATATTCCTTCCTAGTATGTTTTAGTCTTGATATTTCTGTTAAGAATATTTATTTATTTACACACAATTGATTTTGAGTTGTTTGGTAATTAGGTGCAGACTAAGTAGACTGTTTTCTAGCAACAGTGATGGTTTCTTTTGCAGCATGCCTAGCTGCTCTCTGTTCTCGGACCTGGGAGTGCAGCGGATTGCAGAGGACTCTGGCAGTTGCTAGCAAGTCTGTATTTCTGGCTTAGGGGAAGCATAGTGTAAGCATTGTTATAAAAATAGGATTTGAGGAACATATCTGTCTGAAAAGAGCACCCTGTGAATGGGATCTACTTCTGGGTACCTTCAGGCAGAGAGTGAGGAAATGATAGGTTAAGAAATTCCAGATCATTCTATGGAGTACATTTTAATTGTACCGTAATGTAATAGGCCTTTTACTACCCTCTGGGTACTCTAAAAGCTTCCCAAAATCATAAAAGGAATTTACCTAAGAAGTAACCTTAGGAATATAGTATAATTGTAGGGGCAATATAAACTTTTCTCTACCCCTCCCTGCTACTAGATATGGTCAGTCCTTCAGTACTGAAATTGCCTTCCAAGAGGGTGAAATTTTCACCCCACAGTTACAGGTAATACATAAAATGCATAATTTTAAAGGGTCAGCCTAAAATTAGATTCATAATATATCAGAATCTTCTTGTTTTGAGGAGGATGAAAGATAGGGGAAGTTGGAGGTACTACAAAATTTGGAGACTTACCTTTTGCTATGCTTTGACAAAGAAGCTGATTAGGGTTCTGGGTCATAAACAAAGTTGTAGTCTTCAAAGAGCCACTGAACTGTGTATATTTCTTTATTATCTCTGTGGACTTTTGTTGCAGTTTATTGTATGGTATCTGTTCAGGGCTGTTTTCTGGTTTTTTTTGTTTTTTTTTTGGTGAATTTGTGAGAGAGAATGTATGCCTTTGGAGCTATGTATCAGATAGGTAGTCGGTAATTCCTTATGAGTGATACACATGATTTAATGGCAGTACTTTTGTGCCTGCCTTCACCTTCATCTGCTCTCAGTCATGGGGCTGCCCAAGCTTTTCTCTAGACCCTCTTGGAGTTACCTTAAGAGCTATGGCACTTTTTGTACTGTAAAGAAATTTGTGCCTGGAGAGGTGGTTTATAGTTCTCTTCCTTCTTTTACAATTTTGAAAGGAATTCCTTCCTTGAGCCTTACCCTTTTTTCCCCCTTATCTTTAGCTCTTCTGATATCTTTCCTGTGACATTTAAGAAAGCTTACAGTTCTCAGCAATTCCTGAACAAGTACATTATCAGTTTAGAGATTGTCAATGTATTATCTTGAGTTTAATACTGTCCAGTAGAACTTCCTGTGATAGTGGAAATTTGTGCTACCCAGTATGGTAGCCACTAGCAACATGTGGCTCTTGGGCACTTGAAATGTAGCTAGGAACAACTGCAAAACTAAATTTTAAATTTCATTTAATTTTAATTAAAATAACCTCATATGGCATGTCTACCATATTAAAAGCCAAGCTTTAGGCCATATATTGATGATTCTTTAGTACACAGAGAACTGATATATTTGAAAATTCACAATTGTAGGTTCCATTGGTAAGACTATGAAATTGATTAATTCATTACCTAATTAATGCTGATAAATTCCCATTACTGTTTAAAGAACTTAACAGTATGTCTAAATTGTTTTATTGGAGGGAAATTTCGCTATATAGCTAATGAGCAGAGTCAAAACTGGTTAAAGTTCAGAGTAAATAAAAGCTCTAGGAAATGTCAAGATACATAATCTTTCACCTGGATTGGTGAATCAGTCTCCTAATAATCTCTTTGCATCTACTCTTGTTCCTCTCTAATCCATTTTCCATACTTGAGTACTTTAACCTAAGCATTCATTTCAGAATACAAATCTGATCATGTAACTCCACTGTACTTAAAACACTTCATTGGTTTTTCTGTTGTTCTCATGAAAAAGACTAAAGTCCTGTAAAGTGACCTACAATGGTGGGCCTAATTTTACACCATGCTTTCTCTTACTCTTCATACTTAAGCCACATTAACTTTTCAGTCCATTAAACACTTTATTTAAATGACTCTTGTCAAGATCACCCATGATTTCCGCACTGCTTAATCTAAAAGTCATTTCTGTCAACATCTTTCTTGACTTCCTAGTAACATTCAACACAGTTGACAGTTGCCCCCTTGAAACCTTTCTCCTTTTGTGACATCAGTCTTTCTCTTGTGGTTTTAGATGCTAGAGTTCCTTCTTGATTGTTGACCCCCTTTATTCCCTACAATCTCCTTCAGTGATCTCTTCTTGTTTCATGGCTTTAAATAACATTAATTTGTTGATATAACTTAAGCCCGTTTCAGTGTCAGACTGGTATATTCAACTTTCTTCTTAACTCTTCTGCTCATATCTAACAGATATCTCAAACTTAACATGTTCAAAATAGAACTTTTTGTTATGCAAAATTTCAAACTACACAAAAGGGTAAAGAGTACCATGAATCCTTGTGTGCCCATCCCTCAGCTCCAAAATCAGTCCATGGCCACTCTTGTTTCATTTGTATACTACCACTTTCCCCATCCTAACAAGATTATTTTGAAGCACATTCTAGATAGATCTTTTTTTCTGTAAATGTTTCAGTCTTTATTTCTAAAAGATTACAATTTTAAACACAATACCAGTATCACATACAATTAACAATAATCCTAAGTATCATAAAATATCCTGAGTCAGAATAGAACTCTTGATCTTCCCACTTCTTCCAGGTCTTTTCATCCTCCCCTCTCTCCCCACCATTAGTTAATGGTACTAACATCCTCAGGTCTCACACCTTAAAAGTCCTCCTATTTTCTTTTCTCCTCTCCCATCACCAGTTCATCAGCAATTCATTCTAAGCTCTATCTTCAAAATATATCCTGAATCCAACTTCCTCCCCCTGATTCTACTGCTGCCTCCTAAACTATCTTTCTCTCTTGCTTCGCCCACCATAGTAGTCTGCTAAATGGTCACCCTGTTTACATTCTCCTCTCTAATTCATTCTCCACATAGCAGCTAAAGTTATCTTTTGAAAAATTAATTGTTACATCATTCCCTTGCCTAAAACCCTGTTGCCTTTAGAACAGAATTCTTAATTGTTTCTGTGGTCTCTATTGTCCATCTTCAACTCTGATCTCACCACTTTTTCTCTTATTTACTCCCAGCCCTTTTAGTTCTTCAAACACCCACAAGTTTGTTCTTGCCTTGTAATTTTTGACTTGTTCCCCCAGGTATCCTCTTAGTAGGCTTATTTATCTCATTCAGATCTCAGCTCAATTACTGCGTCCTAGAAGAGGCCTTTCTTGACTGCATTATATGAAGTATTGGCCCCTCTGCCCCACTAGTCACTCTTTATCCCATTACCACAGTTTTCTTTTTTGCAGTACTTTTTAGTACTAAAAATATCTTGTTTATTGGGGTACTTGTTTATTGTCTCTCTCCCCCTATGAGAATTTTGCTCCATAAGAGCAAGAACTTTTTCTATTCTATTCACCGCTGTAGCCCTGGTGTTTAAAATGGTGCCTAAAGTGTACTAGACATTAGTAAATATTTTTTGAATGAATAGTGAGTTAATAAATGAACTCTGGTACTCTCTACTGCTCCAAATGTTTAAAGAAGACAGATTTTTGAGGGCTCTCAGCCAAGGAAATCTCCATCTAAAAGGTATAACTTAAACCTTGGTCTCAGAGGATCAGTTCAATTTAGACAGTGGGAAATAAGAGAAATACTTTAAAAATTTTTTGTTTCTGTTTTAATAGGCAAGTTGTAGGAGGTAAAGTTGGCAATGAGATGACCTGTCTGCAACTTACCTTTCTTGGCTCTCTAAATAGAGCTGCCACCATTTGTTTGGAATTTGCCACTTGTTGATATTATATATCCTCTACTGTGCATAAAATATTATTTAAAAGTGATGATTGCTTAGTGAATATGTTGAGATTATCCCTAACAATTCCAGTTTATACAGAATGGTGATACTATTGATAAAAATAGAAAGATACAAGAAGAGGGTAAGATAGTGAAATTAGTTTTAGATCTGATGTTTGCCTGTTTTTGTTAGTCTAAATTATGAGCCTTCTACAAGCTGTTTTACTTCTAGATTGATATCTTGAAAAGGCCATTCAGTTACTAATTAGATTAGTAGCCTGATAGTAATAGAATCTAGGCTGCAGACTAGAGACTGAATGGCCTGAATGGTCATTGCAGTTGGAAACACCTAACTGTTCATCATGGGGAAAGTGATCAGATAAGTTGTGATTCCTCCACAGAATAAAATATTTATGCAACTATTAAAAATATCTAAAAGGTATTTTTAGTAACATGGGCAAAATCTCATGGTATAATTTCATAAAGTAGACCTTTAAATGTTATGTAATACCTCAGTCTTATAAAAATATTCATAAATTTGTATAGAAAAAACAAAAGGGACATAATGGTTAATTATGGGTGATTTTTATTTTCTTTAATTTTTTTCTGTGTTTTTCAAAATGATTGTATAATACTTTAATCACAATAAAAGTTTGTTTTAACAAATGGATGAAGAAAATGATGGAGTTGGTTTCAGTCATGAATTTAAGTTTGGCAAAGGAAAGAAATAGGTTGGTATATAGAGGGAGATAGAAGATCAAGTACAGGTGCTTTTAATACGTGTTAATATTGAATGTTAACTTATTGGATGTTTTTAATAAGTATAAACCTAGGATTATACACTTTTATTTTCTTGATGATTTTTCAGTGATTGTGTTTTGTGGGTCTGGGATGAGGTGGGGGCCGAGGTGAGGTTGGGGACAGGGATTAAAAAAGAAAGAGAAGGGCATACTGCTAGAAACCTTTTCTGGAACTTCTATTATCAGAAGGTAGCTGATGCCCAGCCTTTCTCCAGTGACAAGTGAACAAAATGACCGTCATCAAAATTTGGGAAGGAGGGACTGTGTGGTGTTGATACACTCATCAGAGTCAGAAAGTCCCCTGCTGTTTAGGTGTTATTTTTCTTTTGGTTGGCTTTTTGAGAGTTGGAGCCTTTTTTAGGGGGAAGAGATCCTGGGGAAATAGGTACTTGGGTTACTGAGAAAAGGTAAAACTAATTTCTACTTGTTCTATGAACAAGAAAGCCACAAAGAGATTTGATTCCTTTTCTGGCAGCATACTTTATTTATTTCTGTTACAAAAATAACACACAATTGTAGTAAAAAACTAAAAAACAAAAAGCCTGTAAACGTATAGATTAATTTCTGCAAGTTAATCGCTTCTGGTAGTTTCTTGTATATCTTTCCAGAAGTTCTCTAGCATCATATTTTAGAATGATAGACAAAGAGGGAATAGAGCAAGAATTATGCTGGATTGTTTGGGACAATTTGAGATAATCAGGTTCAGTAGAATCATGTATTGACTGTATACTGGAGATGGAAAGAGCACCCTGTGCCAACAAATGGGGTTTGGAAATGAATGAAACAATCTTTACCCTTAAGATGATCACATTTGGGCCAAGGAAACAGCTGTGCCAGTTGTTAGAATTACTGTGACATAACTTACCTATCATTCTTGTAATAAAGATTTTCCAGTGGTTGCATTATATATAGCGTGGTTTCCCCACTCCTAATTTACAGGGTTGTAACATACCCAAGAGCTCTATTTTATTTTATTTTGCTTAAATGCTTCTTTTTTACCACTTAACTTTCCATTCAAGTTATTCTTTTTTTTTAATATATATAGGAATTACTCAAAGTGATGAGGACGATTGATGACAGAATAGTACATGAATTAAACACTACAGTTCCGACAGCTTCCTTTGCAGGGAAAATTGATGCCAGCCAAACCTGTAAACAACTTTATGAGTCTGTAAGTGTGTCTTTTGAGTCTTTTATATTGCTTCCATTATGCCTTTCTTCGCAGGCAAAATAAGAAATCAATTGACATATAATTAAACTGTGGCTAAAAGAATGACTTCTTCGTGTTTTCTTGCCCTTACGTGAGAGTGTCTATAAGTTTTGATCTGGTTTCTACAAACTAAAGAAAATGTGTGATTACAAGTCTGGAAAGAGATGGTTCTAAGGAATTAGAGCAGCTGTTTTCCCCACCTCGTGGGCAGCCTTTCACTTAAGGAAACCTTATGCACCAAAGAATGAAGGAGAGAGTGAAACAGTCATGTAAAACAGTGGAACAAGAGCAAAGGCTTTGAATAAATCAATCCTAAGAAGCGAGACAGCTGATAATAAGGAAGAATTAAAACCCTTCACACTTCCTACGTCTTCCCTCACTCATGAGAAAGGGGAAAAGAAGCATTCGGCAGGAGTGAAGGAAAAGCCACAGATAACCTGTCCTTTCCTGAGGCTTTGGTTTCTCAAGTATATATTTTTTAATTGCCTCTTAAAGATTTCCTTTATTTCTCTCTAATTTTCAAAAGCAAAAAAGAAATAATGATGTAGCTACCTGTTTTTTATAGTTTACTTAGATTTTTTCATTAACTTAGTAGCTAATATTCAAGTGACGATTTGCTTTTTTTAGGCTCTGTCACAAGATCAGTGTTTGGATTCATAGTCTTATAAAGAAGGTATTACTTAAACCTAAAGTCCGTTTCTCAATTATAAAAAAAAAAGTCAGTTTTGGATAAACTTATTTGTCAGTTAAATTCAAAGCATTAACTGTTAATATCCTGCCTGCTTTTGTATGAAAGTATGTTGTGTTATTAAGTGGCCAGGTAATTCTTATGGCTTCAAAAATTGCAAGATTGTGCACTTTACTGAGTAGACAGACTCTAGTGTTAGAAGTAGAGAGCACATTTCGAGGGCCTACTTTCTTTTGAGGTTTGACAGTTCACTTAGTTTCTTTGTAGCTCTGTCTGAAGAACTAGTAGTTTGTAATCACTTTAGTGATCGTCCTCACTACCCATATAATCTCTATAAACTATTCAATCATTTCCATTTACAACCGTTTTATTAACCTAGAGGTTTAGAGTGTAGTGATTAACAACATGAATTCCAGCTCTAGATTAAGTCCCACCTCTGCTACTTCCTAGCTGGGTGACCTTGAACATGTTACATAACCTCTGCCTCAGCTTCCTGATTTGTAAAATAGTGTCAGAATAGTACCTAGTTCATAGGGTTGTTAGAGGATTAAATGAGTTAATACAAAGTGGTGCACTACGTGTTTTACATATAAATGCTTGCTGCTTCTATTGTTGCTGTTATTATTTCTTATCTCTTTGGTGGACCAGGATAAACTTGCATACTAAATTTGGATCCTTTCTATTTTGGATATTCTTGTGTATGTGTCTGAATTTTTCTCTGTATCCAGAGGGATCTAACAACAATAAAGACATGTAAAGGATTGTTTATGAAGTATCTTTGCTTCAGGGCTTAGGCCTGTAGCAGAGTGTCCATGCTAATAAGTACCACTGAGTTCCTGTAAATACTGTCTCAGTTAAGAAGTGGAACTCTGTGAAGCGTCCAGGTTGTTTACAGTCATCCTGCCTTACTTTAGTCCCTTTTATAGCCAATGAAGGTGTATTTGCACTCCCTAATGATAAATACTTCTTCATAGGAGAACATCAGCAAAGTTATTATAAAGCACTAGTTTTAGAAATTCCAAATCTTAAAAGTATACTCTTAGTAAAAATAAGATAATTTTAGTGAGATCCCCTTATTAGAGCATATTTCCTTTAATCTATGAGTTTTTTTAGCTTTACATTGTTTATTGTTTATTCTCAAGGTAAACATAACAGTCAATACTGAACAATTAAAAAGTCTGTGAACTTGGAACAATGGTTTACAAATGCAAAATTATTATTGGTGTCAGTGATTGATTTGGAATAATTCTTTTTTTTTTAAACTTTTTTTTATTGAGTTATAGTCATTTTATAATGTGTCAAATTCCAGAGAGCACAGTTTTTCAGTTATACTGGAGTAATTCTTAAAGCTGTTTCTTTAATATAATAAACTCTAGGAATATATGTTTAAATAGTATGTTTCTCCTTACATCTTTTTGTCAGAAGTTCTGGAGGAAGATTTAAAACATACAAAAAAATGCCATGATAAAAACTCATAAACTTTTTTTTTTCAATTGAGATATAGTTGACGTACAATATTGTATGTTTCAAGTATACAACATAGTAATATGCAATTTTTTAAAAGCTTTTTTTGTCGGGGGTAGTTTAGTTTATTTATTTATTCATTTTTAATGGAGGTACTGGAGATTGAACCCAGGACCCCATGCATGCTAGGTGTGTACTTTTACTACTGTGCTATACCCTACCCCTTAAATGTTTTTCATACCAAGGGTCATTGTCAGGATTCTAAAACAAATAATGTTTGGAAAATTAGAATTTAGAATTAATTTAGAATCAATCTTTGTTCTAAAAAGAAAAATATTTAAAAAAAAACCTATAATCAGTAAAACTGTTGACATTATACTTCCCTTAAAGGCAAAAAGCATTGTTTTAAAATAATGATTAAAAACTAGTTGGTGAAAATTCGACTACCAGAAGTTCTCAAAGTTCTGGTAAAAATAAAATAAAACCTAGATAATACCCACTTTGGACTAGTTTTGAATCATTCTCCTGCCCCACCCTAGATGTCTCCATTTCACAATTGTTTACCCCAGGTCAAAGAAAGAATGGCTATGATATGGTTATTGTTCAGGATTTTTGTCTGCTAACCAAAGAACATGCCTTTTACCTTACTGAGTTCCTTAATAAATTTGATCTCAGTTCCTTTGATAAAGCACTTTATGTACCAGAAATAATTATCATGTGACCAGATCCTCAAGCATCTGATGCTAATGAGCTAATGAGCCTGGTCTGGTATTATATTTTCCTCACCAAGTCTGTCACTAGCTGTCGTGTCCTTACTTCTTTGACATACATGTATAGATGTCCATGCATATTCCTCTTGCATATGCTCTTAATTTTGAGTATTATTGGATAGTCATGAAAAACAGGCCAAAATAATTGATAATACTGAGTAAAAGATGATTTGCCCAGTAACTCCTGTTCACCTGGGAGTGGGTTTTTGGTGGGGCTCATCTGAAGGAAAAGTAAGCAGGTGAGGATAGGAGGGTAGTCTGCACCCAGAAGTGTATCAGTAGGGAAGGAACCAAGTTAAAGAGGGGAATAGTGGAGGAAAGCTCAATCAAGTGAGGAAACTGGTGAGAGACTGAAAGAAAAATATTGAACATTTTAATAAAATGCACACAATTTGAATTTGATTTTAAAATACAGATAGAAAAATGAGAATATTGTGATAGACTTCTAGTTGGTGCTAATGTTATTTTACCAGTTGCTGGGGGATTAGACAAAATATCAAAGTAATTAAATAGCATCCGGCATCTAAGTCTTGAGTCATGTTGCCTCTAAATGTTAAAGGTGGAAAGGATATTAACAACTATATAGTCATAAATCATAATTTTACAAAAGAGGAAACTGAAGCCTGGAAATGCTAATTATTTAGCCAGTCTCACACAGCTGCAGGGAGAGCTTCTTATCTCTGAGGATGGTTCTTATTTTGGAAAGAATAGTTCCAGTTTGGCTGTTGGCTCAATGGCTCCTTTAATCTTCTGTAATTATACCTGAAGGAGTTAATAAATAACAGAAGCAGCATATTAGCCAATGTATGTGGGCCTTGAGGCTGTCCTTGTGAATCTAAATGTTACAATGAAAAATTAGCATACTAGAGGTTTCCTATGTGGCATTAATGTCTGTTAGGCAGTTTAATTCCCTTTCTTCACAAGGATAAGGTTTATAATTAATGCACTTTTAGTGTTGCCTTCTAGAAAAGCAAAAGGTTTATTCTTTCCTGGTGTGTATTAGACCAGTAGTTCTCAACCACAGAGTCCCGATATGATCATTTAAGAGATGTATTCCATATAACTTATGAAGGATGCTTATAGAATGGTTTGTTAGCCCTATGTTTTATGTAAGATATATATATATAATGGTTAGATATCCCTATTACCACTATCAGCAGCATAGCATTAGGGTATTCTCTCTTCAGAGGGAAGAAGGAATGATATAATGTGGTTAAATGGAGCAAGTCAACACTTAGAACGTTTTAGATGGAGGTGAACCACTGTTACTTATGCACCAGTAATTATAATGGTGATTGCTAGATGAAGGCTAATAAAGAATTGCCCATCAGGCACCCTTACTTTCAGCCAGCACACACAGTTGATGGACCCAGTTAGTTAGCTTTCCTTCATACACAATTTTTCATAATTGATACTTAAACTTTAAAATCTTAAAAAGGGCTTTGTCTTACATTGGTAAATGTAGCATTCTTTGTTTTTCTTTATTCACTTTATCATTTTTTGCACTTGGTGACAACATGAGGCCTGGAAAAAAAGGACAAAAATATAGCAATAGGAAGTGGCCCAGCAGGTGTGTGAAGGTAGGTGTCTGGTAGAGTAACACTTGGGTGGAATAATGGGGAAAGAAAGGGAAGTAGGGAAAGGAGACTGAAAAAAAGCCAAGTGTAGGGAGTGCGGGGGGAGGAACAAATCGAGGAGGCAATCAGCTGGACCTCTTCCATCCTCACAGCCATGCCTTTGATCTGTTTTTAGGTGATTAGCTGATTCAGCACTGGCCTTTTCTTCCTTAGATTAAATGATTCAATTTTTAAAAATTGTTTTAGGAAGTATAACATAACAAAAAATAAGAATTTTTTTTAAAACACTGAAATGTGACAAATTGGTGTGATTTTTCTCTTTTCATTGCTTTGTTCTTTTAGTTGATGGCAGCTCATGCCAGTAGGGATAGAGTCATAAAAAACTGTATAGCTCAGACCTCATCAGTAGTAAAACACCTCCGAGAAGAGAGAGAAAAGAATTTGGATGATTTAACATTATTAAAGCAACTTAGAAAAGAACAGACAAAGGTAAGTTGAACAAGATTTACATTTCTGAAGTAAGGTTTCCAAACTTTACCTTCAAAATATAGGCAGTGGGTTTTTTTTAATTAAAAATAATTTTGTTGAAGTATAGTTGATGTACAAGTTTTTAATATGAAAAATTTAGAGAAAGGTTATTTAACACAGTACAACCAGGAGATTAAATACTAAATTTTTTAGTGGGCTTTATTTTATTATATTGTGATACTAATTGGTAAATTAATGTACATTTCATGGATATATGTAGTGTAGCTGCTTTAGCTAAAGGAAACATGGAATCATATTTTATTTCTATTCCTTTATATACTTTATAGTTAAAAATAAAAAGATTAATATAGACTAACACCACATCAGAAAATCTAGGGAAATTACATTTATATCTATGTTTTGAGACTTGACTTGAGAAAAACCTCTTTTTTTAAAATTGAAGTATAGTCAGTTTACAATGTTGTATTCTGGTATACAGCATAGTGATTTAGTTATACATATATATATATTCCTTTTCATATTATTTTTCGTAATAAGCTACCACAAGTTATTGAATATAGTTCCCTATGCTACAGTAGGACCTTGTTTACCTATTTTGTATATAGTAGTTAGTATCTGCAAATCCCAAACTCCCAATTTATCCTTCCCCTCCCTCTTTTCCCCTCTGGTAACCAGAAGTTTGTTTTCTATGTCTGTGAGTCTCTTTCTGTTTTGTAAATAAGTTCATTTGTATCATTTTTTTAGATTCCACATATTGAGTGATATCATATGGTATTTTTCTTTCTCTTTCTGGCTTACTTCACTTAGTATGACAGTCTTCAAGTCCATCCATGTTGCTGCAAATGGCATTATTTTATTCTTTTTTTATGGCTGAGTGGCATTCCATTGTATAAATATACTACAACTTCTTTATCCAGTCATCTTTCGATGGACATTTAGGTTGTTTGCATGTCTTGGCTATTGTAAATAGTGCTGCTGTGGATATTGGGGTGCATGTATCTTTTCGAATTAGAGTTCCCTCTGGATATATGCCCAGGAGTGGGATTGCTGGATCATGTAGTAAGTCTGTTTTTAGTTTTTTAAGGATTCTCCATACTGTTTTCCATAATGGTTGCAGCAAACTACATTCCCAACAGTGTAGGAAGGTTCCTTTTTCTCCACAGCCTCGCCAGCATGTATTGTTTATGGAGTTTTAATGATGACCATCTGACCGGTGTGAGGTGATAACCTCATTGTAGTTTTGATTTGCATTTCTCTGATAATTAGTGATATTGAGCATCTTTTCATGTGCCTGTTGGCCATTTGTATGTCTTCATAGGAGAAATGTTTATTTAGGTCCTCTGCTCATTTTTTGATTGGGTTGTTTGGCTTTTGTTATTGAGTTATATGAGCTGTTTGTATATTCTGGAAATTAAGCCCTTGTTAGTCTCATCATTTGCAAATATTTTCTCCCATTCCATAGGTTGTCTTTTCATTTTGTTTATAGTTTCTTTTGCTATGCAGAAGCTTTTAAGTTTAATTAGGTCCCATTAATTTTTACTTTTATTTCTATTGCCTGGGTAGACTGCCCTATGAGAACATTGCTAAGATTTATGTCAGAGAATGTTTTCCCTATATTTTCTTCTAGGCATTTTATAGTGTTTTGTCTAATGTTTTAGTTTTTAAGCCAGAAACATTTAAAAAATATATTTACATTTTGAAATGTTTACCTCTGGTTCCATCTATAGAACTCTGGAATGTAATACAGATATTAAACTTCAGGATATTACCCTCTTCAGCCATAAATATGTAGCTGTTTAAATATAACCAGATGTGCCAGAGCCTCATTATATTTATTCTTTGCTGTGGAGAAGGTGCTATGGGTCTTTGGCTCTTTTCAGATCCTCCTCTGTTTCCACTTTAGCTCACGTCCCTATAGTTTTCCCTTTTAAGAAAACAGCAGGTGTCCACTGAGTGAAATGTCAGAGGAGGCCTTATTTTAAAGTCAGCTGTAATGGAGATGGGATGTAGACCTCAGAGTTAGTGAAGCAGAGCTGTTTCTTTATAAGTTTTAAGTGTGGCGTCAAAAAAAGAAAACAGTTGAAATGTATACCATATTTTAGTACGTGAAATGTATTGCTGTCTCTTTGGGAGGGGTGCTTAAAGGATAACTTTTAATTCTGACAATAATTTCAAAGTTACAGAAAAGTTGCAAGAATAGTACAAGGAACTCTCATGTACCCTTTACCTGTATTCACTTGTTTACATTTTGCCCCACCTGCTTTACAATTCATTCTCTACACCTTCCCTGCCCCTTCCATCCTCCGCTCCCTCTTTCCCTGTCTTCCTTCCCACCCCTTATTCACATTTTTTTCCCTAACCATTTTGAAAGTATGTTGGACACATAGTACCCTTTTACCCCTACATATGTTGGTTATTTCCTAAGAACAGGGGCTTTTTCTTACATGAACACTGTACAGTTATTAAAATCATGTCTGTACTGTAAGATGGCACAATAGGTGACTTACTGATCCTTGTGTGTCAGGTGCCTGAACATCCAGTATGGGATGGAATCATATTTTCATACTGCACAAGCTGTGAAGTTTGCCCTTTTTTAGTAGATGTAGCCAGACTTTGAAAAAGGGACCTTGCCGTCTCTCTCAAGCCTTTGTTCTCTATCTACATACAAGTGAGTGTGTGCACTCGGAGTCATACCACTGATGCAGTATGTCTTGCTGGATACAGGGTTCATCCACTGTCTTTACTGTTCTCCTTGTTCATGATGACTGCTTCAGCACTGTCTTCCATACCTGCTCATTCATCAGCCAGTGGTGGGCTCTTTAGACAGTGAACTTAGGCTGTAATCATCTTAACCTATCCTCAGTGTTTGTGAAGGCTCGTAGATAATTTATAAAAAGCTGGTTAAAAATCTTAATTATTTTTGGATTTTGTATTTTAATAAACTGTTGAAATACTGATAAAGGAAACTGCAGGGCAGGGCTGTTACATCAGAAACTGAAGAATCACTATTTGCAAATTAAGCCAAAGATTAGAATGACTCTTGTTAGCAGAGAACAAAGTTCAGAAAGCACTGAGTGTTTGGGAGTGATGTGTCACAATTTGTCTGCCCTCAGTTCTAGCCATATGCCTTTAGAGCCCAGAGAAAATCACCAGGGTGACCACTGCAAGGAGGACTTTTACCAACCAGTCAGTGAGTTGTGAAAGGTAGCTTTCTAGCCTGATACTGCATAGGACCAGCATAGGGGGTAACCATGAATGGTACTTAAGCAAATAAAGGAACTTGAATTTTTTTTTTCAAGTTTACTATGAAGATTATGGAACCAGAAAGAAATAGCTCTTAGAGATGTTCCAGCTCTACCTCTTCATTTTCTATGTGTGGAAACAGACTCAGAGATACTAACTAACATCCCCAAAGCCACAGGCTAGTAAGTGGTAGAACTAAGACTTTAACCTATCTCTTCTGATTCTGGATTCAGTCAGCGTTTTTATATTAAGTTGGGGCTAATAGTCAAATGCTGATTACTTTAGTGAACATGATTTATTTATATACAGTGATGCCAGTCTGAAAGTTCCCATTTCTTTACCTGAATCCTTAACTCAGAAAAAGCACATTTCTGCTGGAACTATATAACAGCTGTCACCTATTAGTGGCCTTTGAGAGGAGGTTCACATGTTTAAGACCCAGAGCCTCAAAAACAACCATCTCAAAGATAGTGTTTGGTTGGTGGCACTGAGATTGTTTTAGAAGCTGGCTATGATATCTACAGTGTTCAAGAATAAATAAAACATGGATTATAAAGATAGCTCTAAAGAAATAAATCCCATCTACCACTTAGTGGTTTTCTAACCTTGTAAATTAATTGCTTTGAAACTTCTGATTTTCAGTTTATAAAATGGAATTGATATTTAATAACTTCTTGGGTTTTTTTTATGAAGATTAATATAAGAGCTAGCATATTGACTGATACAAAGTAGCAGTTTCTTTCCTTTTTTGAGTCTCTGTCTAGGGCTTTATATTTGTTACATTAATCCTCTTTACAGTATCCCCTCAAGCAGAGGTTTCCACCTTTTGTTTAACCACTACTTAAGGGGGTTGGGAGGATTCACAGTCTTCTGTGGCATTACATTCTCTTTTTGGACAGTTGTAATTGTTCAAAGATTTTCTTGTTTAGTGTGAAAATCTGTCTCCCTGTAACACGTGCCGATCCTTAATCTTTTCTCTGGAGTATACAGGGTAAGTTGAAACCCATTTCTACATGACATCCCTTTACATATTTGAGAGCAATTTTGAAGACTGTCTTAGTAGCATGTTGCGACACTGTTCTTTTAAGCTGTTTCTTCTTTGGCAGAAAGTCCAGGCTCTGACAGAGCAGTAAAGCCTTAAAATGATTTCTGTTCTATATAGCTGATTAAGATCTGAAACTGTGGTTGAGCTGTTATAGACAGGCTTCCTCAGGCTTGCTACTGTTCCACAGCATGTCAGAAATTCACTCCTTCCCCTTGTTCTTGGTTTCAGTCCTGTGTACTGGTCCAACAAGGAGTGTTGGATCAGTACCAAGTCCAGACTTATTAGTGTTACATATGCATGTCTCAAACCGCCTGCCTGAGCTGTGCTCCTAATTTATGGTTAAGTTCTTTGGTTCTTTGACAATTCATGGTTGCTCAGGTCTTGTCTAGCTCTCTGGTATTTTGTTCCCAAGTATCCTGGGTGAGTCTTGGCTTTGGCCTGAGGAAATCATCCTGCTTTTAACCTCTTGGCTGCCTCAGTCTGTATGTAGTTCATGCTTTTTTCTCCTAATTTTACTGAGTATTTTCCAGTCCTCGTTCTGGAACTAACTAGCTTCTTTCCTTTCAAGTCTCTCTTGCCAGAGGCGACTAGGAGTATGATGGGCCCTGCCTTCTGGGCCTGGCAATAGAATTGGCTACTTTTTTTTTTTTTTTATGAAGTAATTGGATTGGCAGTTAAAAAGAAAGTTAGAAAGACTTCAGCATTTTTAGCCTCAGACCTCTGGTTGTGTAGTTAAGGTGTGGAAAATTCATCCGTTTCTAGATCACTTGGGCCTTACATATTCCCCTTCTCTTGTTTTTCTTCCTGTTTCTGTTTCCTGTATTCAAATCAGATTGCCACCTCCTTGTCCTTTTGTTTGTTTGTTCCTCTGTGCTACCTTTGCAAATCTGTATGAGGATCAATAACTAGAACTGGAATTATTCAGTTCAAGGACATGTGAACCTACGTTTTTGATAAGTGTTACCATATTGTCCTCCATTGAAGTTGCAACAGTTTATACTCCTACTAAAAATGTGTGTGAGTATATCTTTTCCTGTGCTCTCCCTAATACTAGGTTTTATTGGCCTTATCAGACTTACTCATTTTTTAAAATTATTGTCATTATGATTTAATTTTCATTTCTTTATATGTGAGTAAGATTGTGCATTTATGAATATGTTTATTGGCCATTTCTGTTTCTTCTGTGAACTATCTTTGAGTAGCATTTGAGTTTTTCTTTTTTAAGCTCTCAAGGTAATTAGAATATGCAGCAAAGCTTGAGAACCTTGGCTTTATAAGATTTAGTAATTGATTAAATATGAGGAGAATAGTTATGTCAAAGAAGTTTTCAAAATCTGGCCTAGGCATTACCATTAACAAAGAATGCAGGAGCCGCAACTGGTTTTGTTAGGAAAACATTACAGAATTCGGTTTTAATTCTTTAAATTTTCATAACTTCATTTTTTTTTCTTTCTTGCAGTTGAAATGGATGCAGTCAGAACTGAATGTTGAAGAAGTAGTAAATGACAGGAGCTGGAAGGTATAAAATAGTGTTGCTTCTTGGAGAGAACTAGGAGGGAAACAGAACTGGCAAAGGGAAACGGAGGGAAGTGGGGAGTAAGGAGTGCCTTGGGCTCTTAAGAAGAATAAAGAGCCTTTATTTACAAGCAGCTTAAAGTTTTAACTTTTGAGGGGGTGGAGTGCTGCAGTTAGCATCCAAATAGAGCCATCTTATAAACATTAGCCTTACGGTCATGGTAGAATTGTATGATCGTCATGGTAACAGAACTGAAGACATTCTGTATGTTTCCTAATAGTAATTATGAGTTATTTGGTATTTAGAGTTATTACATGTTAACTCAGAACCTTCAACCAGGTTATTTGTTTAAATTAACCCTTCCGAGGTCAGTTACTTTCCATAACTTTCCATTATCAGTAGCTACCTTTCACAGTTGCTTGTTTTCGAACATATCTGATCATGAAACATTTTTGGTATGGAGCTTTACTGGGTGTATCTGTATACCCTCTCTAAAACTTCAAAGGTTTCCAAAGGGCAAAATCTATTAAATCTGAAAGAATGAACTGGAAATTTTATTTTATCCTTTGAAATTAACCAATGGAATGGGGCTGAACCCAGAGAGAGGTTAACTGAACCAAAAACTGAAACATACCAACTTGCAGAGCCATGAATAAATTACAAAATACAAATTGATTTTCTTTGCTTTATTACATTTCTTTATCCTATCCTCTTTGCCAAGATTTTCAATTCCTGTTCTTTCCACCTACATGATAAGGTGTTTGCTCCTTGAAAGATTTTGGCAACATTTGTCCACTTACATTCTCTGGTGAGATAATATTTACTCTTGGGGTGGGATGGGGATGGGTACAGTGAACATCTGGTTTGGGAACTCCAGTGCAGAGGTTGATATATGTAAAATGTACTGGGAAGAGTGAAGCCTTTTTAGATTTGATGCTTGTTTAAAAGAAAATCTGCTCCATCCACTCCACAGAAAATAAGGCTCTTTGTTTTAAAAAGAAGAAAATGTGGCCATGGTGCCAGTAAAATGGTTAGGAAGTCATTTGGAAAAAGGATTTGATGAAGTTCGGCCAAGTTGAATATATTGTCCCAACCAGTATGTCAGGGTCACTAATCTAAAGCCTCCTTTGGTCTGAGCACTGGGAATGTCAGGGCCATATCAAGGCTGGGAGCCATAAGACAAAGGAGTTGGAAGAGAGTCTGTATAATTTCTACATGTTTTCTTTTAGTTGGGAAATACACATGCCAAAGAGCATGGAACATGTAGAATTTAAAGAATATTAATAAAATGAATACGTGTCTACCACCCAGCTTAAGAAATTGAATAATACCAGCACCTTGAAAGTTCCCTATGTAGATTATTCTTTTGTTTTTATAATAGTCCACATTAGCTAACATGGCTTGGTTTCTTTTTGAGTTTTTTTGTTTTTGTTTTTTACCTTAAAATGGTTTGTTCTTACATCAATGAAGCATGAGGGTAAACTGGGAGAATTATTTTAAATTTTTAAAAATTTGGACACTTAAAAATTTTAAACAAATGATTTAAAATTTTTTTAAATATTTAAAGTTCTGCAGTAAACATTCTACCTCTCATCCCTCTCTTTCAACCACCTCCTTTCCCTTTCCTCTCAAAGGATGGTACATGCTTTAAGATATTGTACCTTTTGAAATTTTATGTATGTATGTGTGAATACACATGTGTACACACACACATTTCTGAAATCCTTTATCAGATAAATGGAAGTGTATTGTCCACACTTTTTTTCCCTTAATATATTTTGGAGAGCTTTTCAAATCAGAACTTAAAGTGCTTCCTTGTTCTTTTTTAGTTTTGCATTATATTCCATAGAATGGGTGTACCAAAATTTTTATTTAACACAGTCTCATATTGACTTAATCATAGAATGTTCTTTTAACACTTACGATATGTCGTTTGTTTAGTTTTTAGGAAGCAGGGGAAATAGAACAAAACATCATGTAAATTTATATAATATTGCAGAAGACTAGTCTCTTTTCAGGTACACACTTCCTTCAAGTACAGGTGCCTACTTGTGAGAAGGAGCTGGCATTCCTTTAGAAAAGCATGACAGATCTCTAAGTAAAATCTGCATTATAAAAGAATTTTTAAAAAGCTTTATCTTAAACTTATTTTAGATATTTTTGTCTAACTGTCCAAAATATGTCCAGAATGAGTGACTAGAATATTTGTTATTTACTAAACAAGCTAGCTTATAATGATCTTTTCCTTGAATAATTTAAATTTTATTAAAATATTGAAATTGTCATAAATGTATATCAAGGCCTTCTGTGCTCTTAGCATCTGGTAAGTCATTTGGTACTAGTGAGGAAATTCCTCTGTTCCCTAAATCTGTTGACCTGAGACAAAAAAGGTTATATCCACCTGAACCATGCCAGATTTAATTCCAGGCCTAATTTGTATAGGATGACTCAATGACTTGTTTCTGTTCAAATATCTTAGGTGTTTAATGAACGCTGCCGAATTCACTTCAAGCCTCCAAAGAATGAATAAAAAGATACTTTTTAAAAAAAAAAAAAAATGGACCGGTCATCTCATAAGAGCTAAGCATGACAGACATCAGCACGGTGTGCTTCCTAGGAAGATTTCTGAGCCAACAGTCCAAGACCTTTTGTTGATTTTAGCCCCACTTAGCCAAGGCCTCAAGTATAAATAATTCTCATAATTATGGAGAAATCAACTGCTGTTTTATACTGATTCTGTAAAAAAAAAAAAAGATGTTTTGTAACTATTAAAATAATTTTCTGACTCAGTGTACAGACTTATTTGATTGTTTTCCAAGTTGAGACAGTTAAGTTCTTGTAAGAGTATTTGAATACAGTTTTAGTATCTGATTTGATTTGTATTGTACCTTTATGAATCTTACAGATTTATTGGCATGAACGTAGACATTTTGAGTCATTGATAATTTTCTCTATTTATCTCTTTAGGTTTATTGCTCTTAAGTAAAAGTGCAGTATTATAGGCTGGATACTGTCCAAAGAAACTTTTTCTTAGTACCTTAACTTATCTTGTTTTCATATGAAAAAACTAATGTTGGGTAGGATTTTTTCCTAGGTAGTGTTTCCGTGGACAATGAAAAGGAAAGCAGTAAAACAAATTCAGAAAATGGAAAAGCAGAGTAGGGCTTACATAATAGTATTCAAATGAATCAGTTAAAAACCTGATGTAATTGGAGGATTTGGTCTTGTGAGAAAGCACTTTCTAGTACAGAATGATTGTATTTGTTTTCTGTTGCTGCTTAACAGAATTAGGAGCTTAAGACCACCACTGTTTATTGTCTTACAGTTCTGTAGGTCAGAATGCCAGGAGCACTTGACTGAGTTCTCTGCCTAGGGTCTCACAGATTGAGATCAAGTAGTAGCCAGGATGTGCTCTTGTCTGGAGTCTCCAGGGAAAGAACCTGCTTCCAGTCTCGTTCAGTTGTTGCCAGAGTTCAGATCCTTCTGGTACGTAGGACTGAAGTCCCCATTTCCTTGCTGGCTGTCATGGGCCACTCTTAGCTCCTTTTGAAACCCACCTTTTTGACACCTTGGCTCCCTTCTTTCCAAGCTAGCAACAGTGCACTGAATCCTCCTTCTTGGAATCTGACTGACTTCTTTGCTATAAGACAGACTGCTTCTAAAGGGTTTGTGTGTTTATATTTTACCATAATAATCTTCCTTTTGATTAACTCAGTGTTAACTGATTATAACTTTATATCTGCAAATCCCTTTTGCCAGGTAACATCACAGATATAATGTCTTATATTTAGTCTGAGGGATTAGAGTGGGATATTTTGGAAAGCCATTCTAGAATTCTGTCTATCACAATTTAAACAAGTCACCTGGTTCTTGCACTGTTGCAGTGACCCAGCAGGGTTACGGGTAGGCTATGTATTTGTTCAGTACATTGACCATCAGATTAGGCACTTGAAAATGAGCGGTAAAGGTATAAAGTGCTCGTTTCAAAAAAAAACATCGAGCATTTACTGTGGGTCAGATACTGTTGTCATTGGAGATACTGATAAACAAGACCTACTTTTGTGAAGATTATAATTTAGTCTTTTCAGCAAGAAGAAAGATCCTAGTGCCAGTGGTGAGAAAGATTTTCTATAGGAATTACATATTAATGAATAGTTCAAGAATCCTTGGAAAGGACTCATAACAGCCTTTCCAGAATTTCAGTTTCACTAAAATACACTGGCTAATTCATGTTAGCAGGACGCCTGAGTCTTTCCAATGTGCCATATTATTTTTTTAAATGTGCAATAATGACAGTATGGAGTAACTTTTAGTATAAATGAATATTAGTTTGTATAAATGTTTAGTTTGTGGTGAATGGCATTTAAAGCGACCAATGTGAAGAAAGGGATGGTGTCTTGCTTTTGAAAGTGGATTTGCTTGCTGAAATAGTGTCTTGCATGTAATTGCTGCCTTTCAGCAACTTGTTGATTCTGTTGCTTGAAAGATAGGTAGGATTTAGCCAAAAAGAGAAGAAACTGAATGTGCAGAAAGTTCAGAGATGAGTTTGGCCCTTCCTCGGCAGGACAGAAGATGGTCATAGAGGAAACAGGGATAATAATCCATTTGTAAATTCTTGTAACAATATTTAAATGCCTTCCATATTTTAGGCATTATTAGCCACTGCTAATATATCACTGAACAAAACAAAAATACCTGCTCTCAAAGAGCTTACATGTAGTGAGGGGAGACAAACCATAGAAAAGAAGTAAATTATATAATATGCTAAACAGTGATAAATTTCCACAGGGGAAAAAAAAGATCAGGAATGGGGTGTGGAGAGTAGGTTGCAAATGACTGTTCAGTTAAGAGAATATTATAACACCCTGGTCTTTGAAAAGCCGATTGAAATACAGACTGAAATATTCCAGATAAATACAGTCATAAAAAGAAACTTTTCTAATAAGTTAGTCTTTTTTAAGTTGTGCTCCAAAGATACCAGTATATCCAGTGCTATTGCGGTAGACACTGCTTCTGTGCCACACTACGTATTTAACACTGTCCAGAAATAACTTGTGAGCTGGGAGATTAGTCAGATGTATGGCCTTATTTCTAATCAGGAAAAGTGAATATTCTACCTAGAGTTAGGTGATCTAGTTCAAATAGGCTGGAGATTACTTAGGTTACTCATGATTTCAGTGTGTACTTAGCCTCATAGATAAGCCTTGATTGATTCTTAAAAGATACTTTAGTTGAGCATGAACATTGAAGAATAAAGAAAATAGTCAAAAGATGATCATTCCTGATAGGGACAGCATTTCCAGAAACAAACAAACAAACAAAAAAGCCAAATTTACTTGCAGCATTATGTTTGAGAGGAAAACCAAAATGTTAAAGAGGTTTATGCCAAGATAGCTCCCAGCTTCCGTATGCAGTGGCTAACTGAGGGCACTCCTGTAAAGGAGAAATGACCTGGCCTAGGTGAATGTGAATTTCCTGGTACATTAAGGGACAGCAAATCCAGTGGCACTTAAAGGTAATTGCTGTGGATTTAATGATTTTTCCACTCCAGTTTTAAAACCTAGCAAACAAAATCTGTCTCCTGCTTAAAATTCCCCAGTGACTTCTCACTTCCTTGATAAGTATAAGTTCCTCAAAATGGCCCCTGAAGTCCTTCATGCTCTGGCTCCTTCTTACCTCCAATCTTCCCTTCTCCACAGTGCTCTCCTCTATCGATAGGGAGCTGCATTCTGCTCCCAGAGAGGACCCAGTCACCTCTGAACTGTACATGTTCTCTCTTTACCTGGCCAGTTCCTACCTGTGCTTCTTGTCTTAGCTATGATTTCCTTCAGCAAGCCTTTTCTGACCTTTCACATACAAATTAGGTGTCCCTTTTATGTGCTCCCATGATCAGCACCTCTCAGGATCTTTATCATGCTATTCAGATACTGTTTACCTCTCCCCTACCAGCTTTCAAGGGCTGGTGCTGTGGTTCTCAGTGCCTGGGAAGGATGAGCCTGAGACACTGCTAATTTTCTACCCCAGATCCGTTTCCCTCTTCCTGACCAATAGAATCCTGATTTTTGTCCAGAGTGGCAGTGTGCCCAGCTTCCCTTGCAGCCACAGAGACTAGTGAGGAAATTTTGGCCAATAAGCTGTAAGCAGAAGACTGCTGGGGCATTTCTGAGAAGCTTAGTTTCCTGATAAAGGTATTATCCCTTCCTCCTCTTTTCTACCTGGAGTACGGTTAGAGTGGCTGTAAGTGTCAAGAATGAGGACTATTTTCCTGTGTGGTGACAAACACAAAGATGAAAACCACCTGTTAAGGATGACTGAATAGAAAGATAGGAGACTGGATCCTTGATGGCATTGTGGGTTGCCATTCTGGAAGGCTATCTGTGTCTCTAAACTTACTATTACGTGTGGGCAGGGATTTGCATCTGTTCATTCAAGGGATGTAATAGGAGTGCTTCACCTATTTGGTTGAGCCTCTATATTTAGGATTCTGTTTTATTCAGCCAAAAGCAGCCCACTGTCTAAGTATTTTTTCAATGAATGAAAAGTATAAGGCTAATAATAGCTCATTTGCTCAGTGCATACCACAAACTAGGCACCATTCTCAGTACCTTATGTGATTGCCCCATTTGGGAGATGAACCTTGGGAAAACTAATAGGGAAAGGCTAGAGAAGACCAGGCACTAAGTGAAGGAACAGCCAGAACTGTGTGAAGTAATTTGGGGGAAATGTGTCTCATTTCCCTAAAAAGGAAGACTTGGCATTGATAGCCAGTCCAATGAGGGCCTGTGCATTACTTGGTTCCTAAGGATTGGGATCAGATCTCATTCAAATATTGCAACGTGCAAATGCAGTTCTCTCTGCTCAATTGTTCAACCCGTATTAAGTCCCTCTCCCTAACCAGTCATACCTTACTTCTCTAAGGACAAAATATTCCTGTCTGCCTGTCTGTTATCCATCCATCCATCCACCCATCCATCCATCTGTTTATCCATATACTTGTCATGTGGATCAGATACCATGCCAGAGCCCTTTGCAGGGAAGACGTTTTGGCCCATAGCTCCTACTTAAAGAGCACTCCTTGGTAGTCCATTTTACACTATGCTGATTGAACCAAAGCTGGGCAACTGACCCCAAAACTGCCAGATCTTAAGTTAGTCAGTGTCCTGTGACATGTCCTAGATCTAAAAGGTGATCTGGACAATCAAATTCGTTAATGCTTTGAACCGAGAAATACTGAGAAAATGATGTAGTTAGCAGTGGAAAGTGAATCTTGAGGGAGAACGATGATAAGGTGCAACAGGGGCCAGGACAGCCCATTGTTCTGAGAAAGCAGGAGCTGTGAGGAGGCACACCATGAGGCAGAGAGAAGCTATTCAGAATAGAAGAGACATTGCTAGTTGGAGCTGGCAAAAAGGTGGACAGAGACAGAGATGCAGACAACTGCTTGGAGAACAGCTGAGACCCATTAACGACGGACCCCTAGAGTGAAAACCCAGCACCACAGTTCCTCAGGCTCTTCGAGCTGCCTTGGCTTCTGGTTCTGGCTGTAAGCCCCAGTTCCGTATGGGTCCTTCTCCTCCACGAGGCCTG